CAAAAAAAAAAAAAAAAAAAAATTAAACTAGAGACCAGGTGTAGTGCCTCATGCTTATAATCCCAGCACTTTGGGTGGGGGGGCCAAGGTGGGAGGATCGCTTGAGGCCAGGAGTTCAAGACCAGCCTGGGCAATCTAGTGAGATGCCATTTCCATATTAGAAAAAAAAAAATTGAACCAGAATCTGAACAAGCTTCTAGATCAAGCTACCACTTTATAGGAGAACAGAAGAAGGACTATGTCCAGCAACATCACAAGATACCAATAGCAAAATCCAGCCTGGGAGAAACTTAATAGAACAAACCACTGACTCTCTTCAAAGCACAATTACACGGGGGGAAAAAAAAAGAAATAGGGAAACTTATAGATGAAATACGTGAAAGGCACTCAAGAGCACAAAAGTTAACTCAAAATGGATCATAGACCAAAATGTAAAATACAAAACTATAAAATTCCTACAGACACATAGGAGACCTCGAGTTTGGAGACAACTTCTGAGATACAACACCAAAGACGTAATCCATGAAAGGAAAAAACTGCTGGGCACGGTGGCTCACACCTGTCATCCCAGTACTTTGGAAGGCGGAGGCGAGAGGATTGCCGGAGCCCACAGGTTCGAGATCAGCCTGAGCAACTTGGCGAGACCTCGACTCTACAACAAATAATAAATTAGCCTGTAGTTCCAGTTACTTGGAGGGCTGAGGCAGAAGGATCATCTGAACCCAGCAGGTGGAGGCTGTGGTGGCCATGAGCATGCCACTGCACTCCAGCCTGGTTGACAGATTGAGACCCTGACTCTAAAAGAAAAACAAAAGACCACTCTGGGAATATGTGGGGGACAGACTGCAGGGGGAGACCAGATGAGGGTCCCGGGAGGGGACCTGAGGTGGTGGGTGTGGGGCCAGAGAAGACAGCACAAGCCAGAGACCTGGGCGGTGGCTCACCCTTCCACTCCAGATTCCCCCGGCCAGTCTGCAGGTGCCCCAGCAGCCGCTGCGGGCAGGAGTAGAGCAAGAAAGTCATCTCCTTGTGGACGGCGTCAGCCTGCTTCCCCCAGTGCTGACTGATGGTCAGGGACTCGGGCCAGTCGCCACTCCAGTTGCCCTGCTTGGGGTCGAATGTCAGGAACTCTTCGCCGTTCAGGGCAAACTTGGCGGTGGGCACGGAGATGTTGTCAGGGCCCAGCTCACAGCCCAGCAGGCCCTGCAGGGTGAAGGGACCTGGGGCGCCACACACAGGTGAGCAGGGCCCGGGAGCGGGGACCCAACCTGCCCTCTTCAGGCCCAGGAGTCGAGCCTCACCTGGTGCTTCCAAGACTTTGAAAGCTTCCAGAAAGAGCTTCTCCTTGAGCCTCAGGTCTGTGGTCTCCTTTTCCCAGTACCAGGCCACCTGCTCCTCCCAGATCCAAGCACCACACGGCTCAGCCCGGGCCCGCAGGCTGTTGTAGCTCAGGTACTGCTGGGGACCCAGCCAGCCAGAGACCCAGAAGGCAGGAGTCCCGGCGGAGGGTGCGGACACCGCCGTGAGATGGTACAGGAGGGAGAGGTGGTTCACTGCAGATAGAGATGGGGAAGGGAGCATGGGGACCTAGTGGGAGCAAACACACCCAGGGGGACAAAAGCCGCGACTGAAGAGTGCGACCAACTCCGAGAGGGGAGAGGACAGAGACCCAGAAAGAGAGACAGAGACCCAGAGAGAAGGGCAGAGGCCCCGAGAAGGAAGGACAGAGACTCAGGCCCCGAGAAGGAAGGACAGAGACTCAGTGAGGACAGCGGGCCAGAGAGAGAACAGAGACCCAGAGAGGGAGAGAGACACAGAGAGAGGGGACAAACACCTAGAGACAGCAGGACAGAGATCCGGAGCAATGGGCTGACAGGCGGTTGCCGGACACCCTGAAGGGGAGATGATCACCGAGACGACCCCGCCAAGGGACACGCGCCGGGACTCCGGTGGGGCCTCGGTTCGCGCCCTGGCCCTCGCGGCGCGGCCTCCCG